CCAAAACCAGCCATAGGGACCCTCAGGGTCCATGGGGACCCCACCAATGGCCATGGAGACCCCAACAATGGCCACAGACCCCAACAATGGTCACAGACCCCAACAATGGTCATGGAGACCCCAACAATGGCCACAGACCCCAACAATGGTCACAGACCCCAACAATGGTCATGGAGATCCCACCAATGGCCACGGAGACCCCAGCAATGGCCATGGAGACCCCAACAATGGTCACAGACCCCAACAATGGCCATGGAGACCCCAAAAATGGCCACAGACCCCAACAATGGCCATGGAGACCCCCAAAACAGCCATGGAGACCCCAAAACAGTCATGGGGACCCCAAAACAGCTGTGGAGACCCCCAAAACAGCCATGGAGACCCCAAAACAGCCATGGGGACCCCAAAACAGTCATGGGGACCCCCAACATTAATGGAGACCCCAAAACAGCCATGGGGACCCCCAAACAGCCAAGGGGACCCCAAAACAGCCATGGGGACCCCAAACAGTCATGGGGACCCCAAAACAGCCATGGAGACCCCCAACAGTCATGGGGACCCCCGAAACAGCCATGGGGACCCCAAAACAGTCATGGGGACCCCAAAACAGTCATGGGGACCCCCAACATTGATGGAGACCCCAAAACAGTCATGGAGACCCCAAAACAGCCATGGAGACCCCAAAACAGTCATGGGGACCCCAAAAGAGCCTTGGAGACCCCAAAACAGCCATGGGGACCCCCAACAGTCATGGGGACCCCCGAAACAGCCATGGGGACCCCAAAACAGCCATGGGGACCCCAAAACAGCCATGGAGATGCCAAAACAGCCATGGGGACCCCCAAACAGCCAAGGGGACCCCAAAACAGCCATGGGGACCCCAAACACTCATGGGGACCCCCAAAGCAGCCATGGAGACCCCCCAAGGGCCAAGGGGACCCCAAAACAGTCATGGAGACCCCCAAGTGCTGTGGGGACCCCCCAAAGCCCCCCCCGGACCCCCAGATGGAGGTGGGGGAGGGGAGGGGTGGGGCACATTCCTGGGAGGCTCCCCAGGGGTGGGTGGGGGAGGGGACAGGGGTGGGGGTCACCTGGCCACGCCCACGTGGGACCACACCCAGTGCTGTCACACCTGCGTGGGAATGTGCCCCACCCACGGCACCCACGGCACCCACAGGACTCTCACCTGCCCCACGGAACCCAAATCTGCCCCACGGAACCCACAGGACCCTCACCTGCCCCACGGGACCCAAATCTGCCCCATGGGACCCAAATCTGCCCCACAGCACCCACAGGACCTACACCCGCCCCACAGAACCCAAATCTGCCCCATGGGACCCTCGCCTGCCCCACGGGACCCTCACCTGCCCCATGGGACCCACACCTGTCCCATGGGACCCAAATCTGCCCCACAGGACCCAAATCTGCCCCACGGGACCCACGGGACCCTCACCTGTCCCAGGGGACCCTCACCTTTCCCACAGCACCCACACCTGTCCCATGAGATCCAAATTTGCCCCATGGCACCCACACCTGCCCCACAGCACCCATGGGAACCTCACCTGCCCCACGGGACCCTCACCTGCCCCACAGGATCCACACCTGCTCCGTGGGACCCAAATCTGCCCCATGGGACCCACAGTACCCACACCTGGCACACGGGACCCTCACCTGCCCCATGGGATCCTGACCTGCCCCACAGCACCCATGGCACCCACACCTGCCCCACAGCACCCACACCTGACCCACAGCACCCACACCTGCCCCATGGGACCCAAATCTGCCCCATGGGACCCTCACCTGCCCCATGGGACCCACACCTGCCCCATGTCACCCACACCTGTCCCACAGCACCCACACCCATCTCACGGCACCCACAGCACCCACACCTGACCCACGGCACCCACTCCTGCCCCATGGGACCCAAATCTGCCCCATGGCACCCTCACCTGTCCCACAGCACTCACGGGACTCTCATCTGCCCCACAGCACCCACAGCACCCACACCTGCCCCACAGCACCCACACCTGTCCCACAGCACCCACACCTGCCCCATGGGACCCCCAGCACCCACTCCTGCCCCATGGGACCCA